ACACATATGCGTTTCACAATCTATTTCATTTCCTCTTTTCGTGGTCTCACCACGATCCATTCATTCCCCCTTATTGAAATAATGTAAAAATCAAAAATTATGCATACCTGCGCAATGTTTGCTGTACATCTTCACCAGCATCCACCATACCACCAGGAATTGCCCATTCATTGCAATCGAATCGTCTTATAGCAACAAACTGTAGTTGGCCGTTGAAAATTCGACTCACAATCGGATCGGCGGCATGATTTGGCCCCCATCTACCCAGTACACCACGTCCACGTATCCCCGTACGGCCCATTGGATTCAACGGCCTGTGTTGACTGTCCAGTTTGTATGTCCTTAATTTTGTAGATCAAAGATTTTGTTTTAAGATGGAGTAATTTTTAATTTTTTAAAAAAAAGATAAGTATTTATTTTTTTGTTTTCCAAAAAAACAATGCTAAAAGTGGTCCTTCAGGCGTAATTTCCCGAAGTACCGCTTCTAATAAAATAATAATAAAAAATATTTTAATGTTGGAAGAAGAAAAAGCAAAAAGTATTAAGAAATTAATAAAATTTGAAAATTATCATAGTTTTATTAAGATATTTTACTACTTTTACTAATTTCTTAATATTATTTCTTAATATTACCTTTCTTAAATTTCTTAATATTATTTGCTTTTGTCTTCTTTTAACTTTAAAATGTTTTTCTACCACAGCAAAATTAACGATATTTCCGCTCTAAGCAATTGCTGGAATTATAGAAATTTTGGGGGGAAAAACTACTGCTAGTATGCAAACTGATAGCCAAAAAATCCGACATCCCATCTAATTGCTGAACAAAATTAGCCTACCCCAAATAGGAGCGTCGATTCACCGGACCATTGTTATCATTCCATTTGAAGTTGCCGCCTCCTGGATCCTGCGTGTCTGCCCATGGTTTCTTGGTGGCCGCCGGACTGGTGAAATCTTCCGGGGCATATTCCGGCCAGGGCACTTCCCATTTCACCTTGGAATCTGGCACATTCAGGCGGTGGATCTCACTTCGTGGATATAGTTTTCCTGGAACAGAAGAAAATAAATAGCGGCGCGTGGCAGAGCATCCACTGCAATCATGCGTTTTGTGCAATTCAGCCCATCGAACGATTGCCTGTTAATGATTTTCACTGCTCTGAATTTAAATTTGAGGGACTGCACGTGGGCAGAGAATAGTCCCTCAAAATTTCAGCTTCCTAGATTCCGTGGTTCCCGAGATAATAATTTACCTGCCAAAAGTTTCACGGGGCACGAAGTGATACCCGACAGCGTGGGAACACTTGTGTGAATTTACGAGATCGTACGTGAGCAGAGGGGTCATTACCTTAAAATTTCAGCTTCCTAGCGTTTCCTGAGATAATAGTTTACCGGCCAAAAATTTCATGGGGCTGTACATGTTACCCACGGATACGGAGAAGTTGGATTTAAATTTTCTAAATCGCACGTGGGCAGGAGGACATACCGGCAAAGTTTCAGCTTTCTAGCTTCCACTGTTCTCGAGATAATAATCTTTCTCGTCAAAACTTCTACGGGGCCGTACGTGTTACCCGCAGGTACGGAGAGGCTAAATTTAAATTTGCGGGGACACACGTTGGTGGGGAACATTCTCCTAGAATTCAGCGCTCTTCCTAGCTTTTGTGGTTCCCGAGTTGAAAGTTGCGGACAAGTTGCTGCGGACACACACACACACCCGCACACACATACACACAAACAACCCCGTGAAAATGTGTGTTTTGTACTGCTGTTGCACAGCATAAACGCATTAAAAAAAACAATCAAAAAAAAAAATTTTTTTTTTTTTACAGAGCAACCAAAACATACTGACATTTAATGCAAAAAAAAAGTACTCATTAACATGAAGGAGAACCATACCTATGTACTTGCTTCTGCTTTGCATCATTTCCGTTAACACGAGATTCAGCAACAGTTTTCTTGCAGTGCAACAAGCAAAAAACATCAATTGAACATTCCGAAATTGCTGAAACACCAAGCACATGAGCTAAAAAAAACTCAAATCATGCAAATTGTCAATTACGAATTTATCAACGAATTAAAATTCTTATTTGTTCATCAAAAAACATAAATTATCATAATTATACAACTTATCTCTTTCTCAACTCATACTTCCAAGCA